TTTACATAACGATATTAGATACTGCTTACGATCGTTAGAGATCGTCATTAGATTAAAAATTTTAACGAATATGAAATCGAATTTGATATTTTTCTGTCGGCCTGGAATCTTGATATTTAAGAAAGGTTTGATTAGCTGCCAAAACAGTTGTTGTTCGGCAACGGTAAAATTAAATTTTATTATTTGTTTAGCAATGTGATACTTGACATTATACCGTTTAGTTGTTGATCTGCTGTAATTTGATCTGTCAGCAACAGTGACTATTTCACCATCATCATCAGATTCATTGTTATACAAAATATCGTCTTCACTATAACCAATAGATTTGTCTATAAAATCTTTGGAAAATATGACCTTATCGCTGGTGACTTTGTCGCTAGTATCTTCTTCGTAGAGTTCAGCAAGTCGTTTCATCAAGTCCATTATTATAATATATTTTTATCTAATTTATTATTATAAGATGACTGATGAGATAAAATATCACCAAAAAGTTAATATAGTAAATTACAACGAACTAGCCGAAGCGGTAAGAAAATGTTTGTTGGGTTATAGTGTTGATGTTATTGTAATGCAAGGTGATTCTCATAAAATATTACTAACAGAAGCAGAAAAAAATAAAATTAATGAAAGTGCAGTAACGACGCTAAAATTTAATCACGATGATATCATAGCATTTGCTCATCATTGCTTGACTAAAACCGAATTACAAAATATTATTGATCATCATATCTGAAACGAATCCTAGCATTGTATTCGCTTGAAAAAGTTGATTTTATTACTCCATCAGCTACAAATTTTACGACAGCGGGATTTATCTTATAATATTTCGCCGCAGCTGAAATCGATTTGAATTCGATCTCCTCATCCGTTTCGAGGTTTTTTGAAATAACAGGTTTTGCTGGACATCTAAAATTAATACCACCACCTCGTCCTTTTCTTACATTTTCCTGTTGGGAAACTAGTTCTAGATTTTCCAATCGATTATCAGTTTTTACGTTATTAATATGATTAATAACCAAATCATTAGGTATAGATCCGTTGAACACCTCGTAAATAAAACGATGACCATGATAACGAACTTGATTTGGCGATGTTCCTCTAACAGTTACCCTGATATATCCCATATTGCTAATAGTACCAAGAACTTTTTTAGTTTTTCTGTTTCTAATAATACCGCGATCGTTAGCCTCGTATAAATCAAAGACCGGATGCGGCTGAAACTCATCTTCTAAGGATAAGTTTTCAATGTTGTCATCAGTGACTTTATCGTTCACATGATATACACGCTGTCCCTCTGGAATATCATCGCAAAACAACGTGTAAATAAAATCTTTTCTAAACATTGCAATCCTCTCGGCATTATCTCCCTTTACACTAATCGTATAACACGCTGACGTTAATTGGCAACATATATTCTAGTTTTGATGCCTTATGGGAGAACCTAATAAAATAGCGACTGCTTTTGCAGGTTTTGATAATAGTTAACAGTTTGATAATCAAATTGTTTTAGTAAATTTTAATGCAACGAATCTTTACCACCTACTACAGACAACTGTAAAACGTGAGCTCGAAAAACACAAAAGTATTAGATTATTTGTGCAATATCATGTTATATTTTCAAAGTTAGTTATAACGGAAGAATCAACTAACAAGGAAATAGCAGAACCTTATATTAACGCAAAATCAAGACGTGCTTTGCTTGGGACTGATCTGTTATCACTATCTGATGAAATACACCAAGAAATCTGGAAAAAAATAGAGGAATTCGCTCAATTAGGTTCGGGTTGGAAGTTTGAAATGATTAAAGGAATCAGTGTAATTTAAAATTTCATGCTCCAGATTTTATTCCGGTTATTCTTCACAATTTTCGAGGATATGATGGCCATATTATAGTAGAAGCTTTTGGTGATTCTGATATAAAATCTCATCTAAAACTCGATAACATCATCAAATGCATCCCAAATAATTTTGAAAAGTACATGTCAGTTACGCTAGGTAAATTGCGATTTATTGACAGCCTGCAGTTTATGGCAGCCTCGTTAGATGAGCTAGTGAAAGGTTGTAGTAAATTTGATAACCTAAGAGACTGTTTTGGAGATAAATTTAATCTACTAGCTAAAAAAGGAGTTTTTCCATACGAATACCTCGACGACTGGAGTAAATTTGATGAAACATCTTTACCTGACAAAGACAAATTTTACTCACAACTTAAAAATGAAAATATAACTGATGATGAGTACAGGTATGCACAAGATATCTGGAAAGAGTTTGATTGTGAGACTTTTGGTGATTATCATGATTTATACCTGAAAACTGACGTGTTATTATTAGCAGATGTTTTTGAAAGTTTTCGTGAAGTGAGTTATAATAATTATGGACTAGATCCTTGCTGGTATTATTCTGCCCCTGGGTTGTCATGGGATGCTTTGCTAAAGTTTAGTAAGGTAAGGTTAGAATTACTGACTGATGTTGATATGTTCAATTTTATCGAAAAAGGTATCCGAGGTGGTATTAGCGTGATAACAAAAAAATATGCTGAAGCAAACAACAAATACCTGAAACAGTATAACCCTAACCTTCCTTCGAAGTATATAATTTATCTAGATTGTAATAATCTTTACGGTGGTTCAATGGCAGAACCAATGCCTTTTAGCGGATTTCATTGGATCACGGTTGATCGATTTCTATCAGAGACAGAAAAAAAGATACCCGATGATGTTTCCTATTTCGTTGAAGTTGATCTTGATTATCCAAATTCGCTACACAAATTACATAATGATTACCCTTTCTGTGCGGAATCGATGGTCATAGATTATAGTTTGTTATCAAAAGAACAACAAGCGTTAGCATCACCAAGGCAACATTCCATGGTCAAGAAACTAGTACCAAATTTACTTGATAAGAAAAATTACGTTTTGCATTACAAAGTTTTAAAACAAGCAGTCGATGCTGGTCTTGTGTTGAGAAAAGTTCATCGTGTACTAAAATTTAATCAGTCGCCGTAGATGAGACGTTATATTAACTCAAACACTTCAAAAAGGGCTGCAGCAAAAACAGAGTTTGAGAAAAACTTTTTTAAACTGATGAACAATTCCGTTTTTGGTAAGACGATGGAGAATATTAGGAAACGCGTAAATATTGAAATAGTTAATGATGTCAATCGCAGAAACAAACTTATGTCAGACGATGATTTTGTGAGCATGAAAATATTTAATGAAAATCTTGTTGCGATACAAAGAAGAAAAACAAATCTAAAACTAAACAAGCCGATCTATGTTGGAGCTGCCGTGTTAGATTTATCAAAGTGGTTGATGTACGATTTTCATTATAATTTTGTTAAAAATCAGTGGCCGGCTAGTAGATTATTGTTTACTGATACTGATTCGCTCGTATATGAAATCGAATGCGAGGACATCTATCAGGACATGTACAATAATCGACATCTGTTTGATCTTTCCGATTATCCATGTGACAGTAAATTTCATGACGACACAAATAAAAAGGTTATTTGTAAGTTTAAAGATGAAATGAACTCGAGCGCTATCAAATACTTTATCGGATTACGCAGCAAAATGTATGCCGTATTGTTAGACAATATTAAAATAACGAAAAAAGCAAAAGGTCTGCCTCGTAATTTTGTTACAAAGTTTATGAAATTTGATGACTACAGGTATGCGCTTGATGGTGGTGTTAGTTTTATGAGAGCTATGGCAATTCGAACTAATCATCATAAACTTGAAACAAATGTTATTATCAAACGTGGATTGTATAATTTTGATGACAAACGCTATTGTGAAAATGGGGTAAATACATTTGCCCTTGGGTATTGTTATGATGATAGATCTATACTCGACATTATCTTTTCCAACTGAAATTTTATCTAAACTTATAAAATAATGTTTGAAAATTTGACAATGACAAATAGCTACAATAGTAACATCAAATATCTAATGATGGACGGTAAACAATTGACAGTTGAATTTAATAATGAAACATCAGGTATATGTTTTAATGGAACACGTGACAAGTTAAAACTTTCGCTCATCAGATCTGATAACAGCGTGTATTTCAATTATCTCGAACAATTGTATCAAACGTTGCTAGCGGAATGTAAAATCTTTCACAGCCCCATTAGCCAACAAAAATATACTAAACTCACAATTGATCTCGATCGGTCAAAGGTATATTTTATCGACAAAAAATATCCTCTGAACAAACCAGAAATAAAAGATTTGTTTGAGTCCCGTCGCTGCGTGAGCGGTAAAGTAAAATTTAGTATCTATAATCGTGATAATGAAATATTTTTAATATCAACAGTTGAAACATTAATCATTGGTAACGAGATATAAAATAATATCATTTTCATTCTAATGCTAATTTAATTTCCACCTTGTTAACTGAAACGTTCTAATAGGTGTGGGAGGGGGGTGGGTGGGCCAAAACCCTCATTTCCCTGTTTTGGAAACCCTCATTTAATTTATACTTGTTTGGAGGGTGAAAAAATGAAGTGAGCCAAAACGCTCATTTCCTTATACTACTAATATGTACCGCCGATATAAGTTTAACGAAAAAACGAATTTAATTGAGATCACCACTAAACTGAAAATATATATTTTTAAAAAAAATTCCTAATACCATTGTTTAATAGCCAAAATGGAGGGAATCAACCTCAAAATCCCAACTGAATATTAATGGTGTAAATTATTGTGTGTGTGTGTGTGTGTGTGTGTGTGTGTGTGTGTGTGTGTGTGTGTGTGTGTGTGTGTGTGTGTAATTTGAATTTTTCAAATAGCTGTAACAATTTTTCAGTCATATCGCTACTACGAAGTGTGGCATTTTATAGTGATGTCTACCACTGGGTCATCTTGCCGCATATATGTAGCATGATGTCCCACCCAGTCACTTTATCCTGGAACTAGGCCGACCAGTACTAACACTAACCTCTTAATGCTAAGCGCCAAACGAGGCAGCTGCCTGTACCATTTTTATACGGATGAAACTGAAAGTCACTCGGCTGGGGTTCGAAACCGCGACCTCCCGCATTCGAGGCGGACGCTCAAGTACTAAGCCACCAGATCAGTCGGTATTAGTGAGAGAATAGACGCAGTAACTAATATAGCTAAAGACCAGTCCTAACAATAACCTCTTGATGCTGAACGCCAAGCAAGGCAGCTGTTAGTAAGGGGTAATTACTTTAATATACAAAGGAAGAAAGAAAAAATATATAAAAATGTCTAGCTGCAGCAGAAAACTTATAAGAATAAAAACACGATACACTTATTAATATAAAGATAAAAACCCAAGCAATTGAATGTGTAAATCTGAAATAAAATAGGAAAACATATATGATGATAATGTTAGAGTAGTATATTAAAATAGGTGAAAAGGAGCCGTGACCCTGGCGTATGAAAACAAAGTTTTAAAAGGTATCAAATATGTAGAAATTATAAAAACCAAATATCAATAATATATGGAAAAAGAACAATTTATCACAAGAAAAGAATGGGATATTTTGAAAAGAAAACAGATGAAGTGGTATTGCGGGGTTAGAAATGAAAAATAGAAATATATGAACCTACAAAAGTAATGGAATGGAATTAAACAACGAGATTAGACGGAAAGCGCATTTGGAGGTCAGCAAAATTAAAACAAAGACAAACAGGGAAAACGTTTAAGGCCAGGGGAGTGTGGGGACTTGTATGAAAAGGTGAAGCGGCTATCGAAAGTAGTAGTAAGATGTGGCAAAGAAATGATGATGGATAAAACAAGAGCAAGTACATTTATTTAGAGGAAAAACTGAGATCTTAGGAAAGAATAAGGAATCTTTTCAGTCACTATACATCACATAACAAAGAAATTAAAGCGTATTTAAACAAACAAAAAATATATCGGATGTGATGAAACGGATAATTATAAATATTCCAAAAGGCTTATCGCCGGGATCTGATAGGCTTTCTGGGCTTTTGGTTGAATTTATGAAACTAAAAAATGGAATTATTCTTATACTATAATCTTTGTATAACAATACCATCTTACAGGACGTAAATGACTACAAGAATGAGGGAGAGAATTGTAACAATCCTATATAAAGAGAAGGGTGATCAAGAAGATTTAAACTAGCGACCAATTTCTTTACTGAACGCAGACTACAAAATTTTAATCACGATTCTTTCGAATTAGAACAGGAAATAACAAAAATATAAACATTACCAATATAGGCACTGATGCCTAACAGCGTAATGGAAAGACTACAGTTTAAAGGGAAATAAACGTCTGCAGCAATATAAATTATCTTGTAAGCTCTTTAGATTTAGAAGACAAGTTTATCAATCAGCTATACATCCATTTTATTGACAATTTGCAACAACAAACTACATTACTTGCCCAAAAGGTAACTTGTACAGAGAAAATAAACAGGGTGCAGTAAACTTAAACAACTAAAGGATCAGGAAAAAACTGTAAAAAAAATGTAAACATAATAAACAGACTCCGAAATTGAAAGGAGAACCAGAGTATATCTGTGAAATACAGACACACACATAACATTCACACACACACACACACACACACACACACACATACATATATATATATATATATATATATATATATATATATATATATATATATATATATATATATATATATATATATATATATATATATATATATAACTTGTCAGCCTGTCCTTTTCCTTCTTTATTCAGATCATTTTGCAGGCTGTTAGAAACTTAAGATACTGCTAGACAGTTGTTAGTACCTTTAGGGGAAGAAGCACAACACCACACGGGTCCATGCATATATTGTGTAATCTTAGATCGAAAGCGAGAAATAAAGAAACGGACCGGAAATGAGAAATAAAAAATATGCTACTCTAGTAGAACGTGAATTATACACACATTACTTAAACGATCTAGCGTTTTCTCTTTTACCATATTGGAACTAAAAATAAAAAAACGATAATTAAGATTTGCTAACAAATTCTAACGTATGAATTTGATATTAGATCTGAACAATTATATAAAAAAACACATTTTAAAATTAAAAGA